ATATACAACTGGGTGCCATTTGCCGTCGGCGGCCTTCTGTGAGAGCACTGCACCCGTCGCGAAGTCAGAGGCATCGGCCTCGACCCTGAACGGGGAGTTGCCGACTGGGATGGCGAGTACGGGCTCGGATATAACGCGCAGCTTGAGTTCCTCAAATGCGAGCTGTTGTTCAACGCCCCATTCCCAAGGGACGTCTCCAGTAAGGCGATGGAGCGGGCGAGCGACGTGGCTGAAGTCTTTGATGAAGCGGCGGTAGAAGTTGCAGAAGCCTAGGAATGACTGTAACTCCTTTTTATGCGTTGGGATAGCCCACTTGGCGACGGCCTTGACCTTGGCAGAATCCATGCGAACGTGTCCCTCCTCAACGATCATGCCAAGGTACTCGATTTTGGTTTGCTCAAACTCGCACTTCTCAGGCTTGAGATAAAGCTTGTTCTCCCGCAGTATGCATAAGACCTCGCGTGTGACGCGTCAATGTTCCTCAAGTGTTTCGGTGAAGATGAGGATGTCGTCAAGGTAGACGACAACAACACTCTCATGAATGAGGTCGCGGAAGAGTTCGTTCATCATAGCCTGGAACGTGGCGGGCGAGTTGGTGAGGCCAAAGAACATGACGGTTGGCTCAAATAGACCCATGTTGGTGTGGAATGCGGCCTTCCATTCGTTGCCCTCCTTAATCGTAGAAGTAGGCCATTACAGCTGGCAGGACGAGTCATCCCTGGCTTTATTTTATGTATGTGTACTCTTTTTCTTCTACTCAAATCAAAGAAGAGAAACCCCTACACTACGGAGCTGCGCCCCGTGGCGTGTTTTGTGTCGGGCTCAGTTCAATATATGTGATAGCTATTAGAGCAAGCAAGCTAGCATCTCTCACATCTTGTCATGATCTAATGAGATACAGAAGCATCGCATATCAGTCTATGCAATGAGGTCACTGAAGCTGTGAAGTAGGGCAAGATTCATGTAGTTTAATTCAATATCAGGGTATCCCAGCCGTCCTTCTCAGATCACTCTCATTGCTCGAATTCTTGTAGAGTAGCTTCCGACGATACCAATGAGGGAGACATTGATGCCTTGGCCTATCAAGATATCCTAAGCGATATTTAGGAGTGCATATCTAAAAGCAGATAGGGCAGAGATTTTGATTTCACTCTACTCAGGGCTTAGATGTCTTGAACCGGCATGCCTCCAGGCTTAGGGCTACTCAATCTCTACTGACCACTGGTGCTTGTGCGGTAGCATGTAGATAGAGTATGCCATTTGCTACACTTCTCTCTGCTCTAGCTATTACCCATATAAAGAGCATGTCAAGATCATGTATGGCAAGCACATTCTGTGTGAGATTGTCTTTACGATTCTTTTAGCACCTATATGTATTACTTGGCAAAGTGACAGCCATGCCCTCAAGAGCACTACAGCAATCTGTTTACCATGGTCAATTTTACCATATGGTTCTGTTGATAGGCTGCTATTATATGAGCCTATAACTGAGCTGAATAACATGTTCACTTTCAGCTTTGCACAAGGTTGTGGGTTCAATCCTTCTACATGCCAAATTTTGATTTACCCTCTTTGAGGGATTTGAATGTATTATGAGATAGAGAACATTATTACAGATCATGAGACTATAGCAGTACACTTTTGTAGTATGAACCTACATTATAGAAGGTAAATTGATGATACTTGTATAATTTTCCCACGGTACATTATACATATATGAGTATAGTTGGCCATATAGCTAAGGAGTCACTGAAATGACTTCTTGAACAAACATAATTTTGGCAACTGTGTAAAATTCCCA